TGAAAAGAGAGAAACAGAACTAAACGAAATTACACCTGCTGAAAAATTACACCTGCTGAAAAAAAAAGATAAGTCTATTATTTTGGTTAGTGATCGTTTGGATTTGTGTCACGTTGTGTTTAGGTTAGTATAAATAAATAATACTATATAGTCATATAAATCACCACAGCTAAATATAAATATATAATAAAGTATATAATTAATAATAAGTAATGTGAGTATTATTGTACAAATTACAATACAGTGTAGTAGTTACCTCATTATCTTCAGCGCCATCGGTTTTTGTTTCTGGATCTTTAGTTGCCTCTATGATATACTTTCTTGCGGCATACTATTTTGGGAGTGTATATGAGCGTGTACCACGTACAGTAGCTCATCTCTCATCATGATGGTGGGACATAGTAGACAAATTAGAGAGAAAACAAGGAGGTATTAGTATTAGTTATATGTAAACAAACAAAACAAAAGAAGAGAAGAGGAAAGAAGAGCACAAAAATGAAAAAGGGGATAAAGTAGATAACAAAGAAAAGAAACGTAGACAGATTATTAGAAAAGGCATTATCCGAGACTCAGCAATCAAATGTCACTCCCGCCGAGATCTCAGCGAAACCCTCCCCGCCGAGACCCGCACAGCCGTGCTCGGTAGAAAAAACTAAGTGTGTAGATAGATTAGTAGGAAAATAAATAAAACTACTTTATGTCTCAAAGTGCAATGAATGAGCGGGATCATTTCAGTGTTATAGTTATGTTAGTTTTGATCCGTAATCAGCCCTGCCGGCCCCTTCAATTATAATTACAATTATATGCAAATGCAAAATGAAACTTGACAAATCATCATCAATCCCCTTATTCCAGGGCAGGGCCAGACGATTTGAATCTAATTTTGATCAGTGTACGGGCACCATATGGTACATTTTCTCACCATGAATCTATAATTTCCAGCCTATCTGAACTATTTAATAAATGGAAGCCATAACATGGGTTCAGGGGTTGAAACAGTTGACGTTTTTTACTACACTCGCTTCGTTGTCGTGCGCGACAGTCTGTTTGTATTCGAACACTCATGCTCTACCGTCGTCTCTCTCACGCAACACGAGCGGTAGAATAACATTCGAGCTAAAAGAAAATTATCAAAATAGCTATCATATGACATGTGTGATTTCGTTGTAATTCCTTAATTTGGTGTAAATCAAACCATTTCTGATCAGAAATATTATTACTAGGACATCACTACTTGCTATTTTCAGAATTCACACAAGTACAACATCAGCAGCTCTTAATATGAGAAAAACTAAAATACATACATACGTGACGGTCTTCGGCGACCGTGTCGTATGACAGAGCCTGTCATATGACATTTTAGTTTGGTACTGTACTATGATAGCTTGTTTTGCAAGTGTCGGAGGCAAAGGCAGTCAATTATCACAGAAAATGTGTCGACTACCGTGACCGCTTACAAGACTGCATGGGTTACGCTCCCCCTAAGTGGGCCCTCCGCATCCTATCTCTGTCTTATCTCAAATACAAAATGCCAATGGTATGAATGTATCTATATATAACTTGGAAATGACGTACAATCAAATAAACCCGTAACCCACTCACTTGGCCAGGTTTCAGAATCGTCCAGTGGGCAGTGCGCTCTACACTCCAAGTTCCCTTTTTTTCAAATTTACCGCAAATTTGATATTTACCCATTGAGTGTTGATTAATCACAATGAAACATTGTGACAGAGGTTGAGGTTACTAGTGTATTAAATAATCGAGGTCCTATTTAGGATTATATCTGAAAAATCCAAATCTGGTTAACGCCCACCCTTAACCTAAACCTGCACACTTAGATTTTTTTGCCGAGATGGGCACCACCGAGCAGCTCGGCATTTTATTTTGCTGGAAATTCAGCAAAAAATATGTTTGTTAGCTGAATCTCGGCAAGTTTATCACTGAGATCCAGCAAAATAAAATGCCGACCTGCTCGGTGGTGCCCATCTCGGCGAAAAAATCTAAGTGTGTGTTCTAATCCACCTGAAATGACTAACGAATGGAAGACTTTGACTACCCAGCCATGCAATAGTCTCATTCCGTGCCTTATGGCAACTTGATGATTCTATTGCGCTCATCTTCTGGCACCACCCAGGGGAGACTTGGTCCTGTACCTAATGCTTAACTTATCTCCATTCCACTCAGCTACTCGCAATTTCTTGTGATATAGTGGGTGGAATATTATTATATGAGACAATTCAATGCAGACATCTTTCCAAATTTGGCAGATCGACAGGTAATCGGTGAGTTACCACGTTAGTTGCTATTCAACAACTCGAGAACGTCCCATCGTCAACGCCTGCTATGAGAATTTCCCATTGCAGACGCCAACGAAATGACGTCATCGAGCTATCGACCAACTACCCTGGTACCTTATAGCACGATGCTAGGAGGCGAACCGGAAGAATCGATGAGCTACCTCCCCCATTGACTCAGCTTATTTATTATCAAGACTTAATTTGTGTGTACCTTCTCGTCAATTGCGTAATCGACCTTTGTTCGCGGTAGATCGTCACCGCACTAACTACGAGAAATATGGACCGATAAATCGGATGATGTCTGTTTATAATCTACACTGTGAAATGATAGACCTAAATATGTCGCCCCTAAAACTGAAAAAATATTTCCAAATACTGCGAAATCATAGATCATAAGTTATAATGTTATTATGTAGTCTACGTTTTTGATTGACGAATAAATAAATAAATAAATAGATTAACGTTTGAGCGGTTTTGAAGAGTTTTAAGCTGAAACGATTTTTTTGCGTTGTGAATGTGAGTGCGTGAAAATGTATGAGCATCTCCAGCGTGAGATTTTTTTTGCCAGATTCGCACGCGTGTTTATTATCTCAGAATGGATCAATTGGGCCTATTCTGCGCGACGTGTGAGGTGAAGTGACAGTGAAGTGACAATTTTCACCTCGGGTGATGTGACTCTCCATGTAAATCAAATGGAGAGTCACCTCACCCGAGGTGACAATTGTCACTTCACCATCACTTCACTGTCACCTCACCTCACACGCCGCGCAGAATAGGCCCAAATGAATGAGATTTGAGAATGATTTACCGGACACTGACCAATAGACTGAGAGAATGCAATCTTTACTTTTCTCATATTCGGGAATTTTTTCTTCGAAAAACATGAGGCGAATTTACTCATCGCTGAGTTCCTGTACTTTTTGCGATTTATAAGTAAACTGAACCAGTGCTGAGGTTTGTCGTTATTGACAGCCTTTCGCACGATATTGACAAAATTGTTTGTCACATAGTCACTGATAGCGAAGTCAACAAATCAAGATGACTGGCAACTCTGCCATTATCTCATACGTTATCTGCCGCTCAAAGGTAAATGCTTCGAACGAATTTTATAGCCGAAGGGTTTGTGTATTTGCTCATTTTTCTATGCGTTGCTTCCACCTTCACTCAAGCGCAGCGCTACTGTATCTGTCGCTTGGATTCTAGCAAAGTTGCTAGTCTTCTTGATTTGTTGTCTTCGCTGATCCTTAAAAAACCTTTCGTCAAAATCTCACTCATTTTTTTCGTCATTGACAAAGATTCACCTAGTAACAAAAACTGTAATTTCGAGCATTCTGCATCACATTATTGTTATTCAAGTTGCCCGGAGCAATGTTCTACTGTGGCCTCCCATACCTCAGACCAAAAGCTGCTGACCGATTTCCAGAAGACCCATCGCTGAGTCGGGCTTTTCGTGGCTGATGTGCTCGTAGAACGCTTTCTTGTTATCACTGCATATCTGGTTATGTTGATGACGTTTCACGGAATCAGTGTAACGCCTCTCCCTCTTCGATAGGACGCTCAACTGTTGTACCAGTGTGTCGACTTTCTCCGTCAGCTTATGAGTTCCCAGCCGATAAAGCTCAGTAGTTTCCATAATAGCAGCAATCTAAAACCTTTCAAAAATGGCCAACGTAGTTTATACAGACTCACAACCCCGTAAGGACTTTCTCAATAACGATGACACGTTTCATTTCTTTTCTAACGAACTATATTGATTAAGTACTACTACAGGATGCAATTACATTGTTGTGTAGTGTTTTCGTATCGTTTCGTTTGCAATAGTCTTTTGAGGATTCCCAGGGAATTGGATCATAATGATATACCTTAGTGATATTCTACCAACTGTTCGTACTTGGTCTACGATCTTCATATGCTGCTGTCGAATGAAAGATTTCTCAATTTGAAATAGTTAAAACCGAAAGACTATACAAGTAGCTACAAGTCATTTTTATTACAAAGGAGATATAAATAACACATCAGAAAAGGGTCCCATTTCATAGATAACGGTGTGCGCATATCAAACTAGCCTAGGTATATCCACTATCGCGACAGAAAAAATACTTTCTTCTTACCGTGGAGGAACCATATTTGACGCAGGACCAAACTTGACGTACTTTTGTACTATGCCCGCACTCCAACAATTATTTCACGAAATAGCTCCCAATAATCAACCCCTAGTTTTTTTTATCAACAGACAACCTTTACATTCGTCAAGTAGAACGGTTGGATTTTTGTTGTTGGCCAATATACGAGCGAAAGAAAAATTCCATTGGTCAAATCCATCAAATTTCGTCTGCCTTAACAAGATGCTAAAAAGTTGGGTTGAGTTTCTATCGGTTTTCGTATTAAAAATCAATTTTTAATAGTAAAATCGTCTCAAACTGGAAGAACATAACCTTCATCGATGTTTCGGTACTATTAATGCAATTTTGGAAATTTTTTGCAAGGTTGTATGCGATACAAAAGTTGCGTCACATTAGGTTCATAGTCCCCCCTATTCTGCGAGTCACGTGACTCTCTCTCACCGGTGAGGTGACAATAGTCACCTCGTGTGAGGTGACTCTCCATTTGATTTGCACGGAGAGTCACCTCACACGAGGTGACAATTGTCACCTCACCGGTGACAGAGAGTCACGTGACTCGCAGAATAAGGGGGAGTGTTCAGTCCAAAACATAGAATCCGAAAGAAAGACAAATCATCAGAAAATCAATTAACAATTGGATCAACTGTATGGGACCCGTTATTTATCATGTTCCAAACCTAGCCCATTCACTGAAAGGTCTCAAAATCTCTAGATATGCACTGATTAATCTTTCTTGATAACACATTACTATTTTTTTTTAAAGATCAACAGGAAGAACTGTCTTGATTTGATTAAATGGCTCTTTCATGGACAATGCAAACCTTATGACATATTCACGAAAAACCAGAATGCAAGTTTAACATGGCTATGCTTGGTCGATAAAGCTATGTCTACGACATGGTCTAAATATGTTCCGTAAAAGCCATAACTCATAAAATAAACTTTAGAATGTTATGTACCCGCTACGTATTTAACGAAATCTGCAACAATCCATCATTATTGATTGAATCTATTACTTTTTTATAGTGCGTCAAATTAGGAACATAAGAAAATTTGTGCTTAATTATTAGGCACACGGTGTACGATATCAAGTTAGTTTTTCAAAAAAATTTAGCCAGTTGTATATTTTTCCCCTATTATTAGATATTTCAAATAGTGGCCCGCAAAAGTTCAAAGAGTGTTGATTTTTTACATAAACATTTAATTTTATATTTCCTCAACTGCGTCTAATATGGTACCTTCACGGTAGCGTGTTTTTGTTTAGTGATTGCTGATTGCAGTTTTGCTAACTCAATAATAAATAGGTCGTTATAAAAATAAGGATGTCTTCCATTTTCAGTTCCAGCTGTGCAACCCCTCTGGACAGGGGGCTACAAAGAAGTAAAACGTTACAGATAATAAACCGGACTTGTAAAACTAGGTACGCTTATAAAAAATAAGAGCGATTTGTTGGAGGAAAACTTTCAGTTCCGCACTCACTAGTTCTAACATAAATCTAGAAAAAAATAATAATTAAGTAGACAACTCCCCTGCTACTCACTAAAACCTACCAATAGGGGCGGGAGATTTCCGGGTACACACCTTCTGCTACAATGCTATTGCTGTTGTCGCTGCTGCCATTTTAATGTTACCTTCCATTTTCTGAGTACTTGATATTTGCGAAGCGAGCTATGCCTCGGAGAGATTGATTAAATCGTGCTGACGCTGGGTGCCGGTTCCACCTCCGGCCGCGACTTCAGTCCCAACTCAGGCTCAGGCTCCTCCTTCTTGATTATGGTTTGCTTCTTTTTTCGCGAGGATGTTTTGCGTGTTGACGATTTGTACTTGCACCGGAGGACGTGCTTGGAGATGGCCATCTTGTTCTTAAATCCTTTCTCGCAATGATGACAAAATAGCTCCATTCCATCCGTGACGTGAACCTTAACATGCTTGGCATAGTTGCTGGCATCGGAGAAGGTTTTGTCGCATTGGGCACATTTGTGTGGCTTGTAGCCAATGTGCCGATATGTGTGGGCTCGGTATTGGTCCTTTCGGGCGAACATTTTACCGCACAGTTCACAGTTGAAGCCCCGGAAGTTCGGGTCGTCCTTGGCATGCATCGAGCTGTGTCGCTTCAAATCGTAGCCCCGTTCGAAGTCCTTGCCACATTTGTCGCAAACGTGTGGCTTGGGGATGGGATTGATCATTTGATTGTGCCGACGGACGTGCTTGTGCAGATCGCCGGACGAGATGAATGCATATTCGCACCCGTCGAAGGGACATTTGAACGGCCGGATTCCGGTGTGAATTCGTACGTGCCGCGTTAGGTCACCGGTTTGGGTAAATGTCCGACCACAGTGCGGACAGCTGCGCCGTTTCACGTCTTTATGGACGATATTCACATGGTCTTGGATCGTTTGACGATCTTCGAATGCGGTTTCGCAAATACTGCATGTAAACGTTGTTTTATCTTCGTTGCTTGTTTCGACGATCTTCGATCGCTCGAAGGGAGTCATCCCATCGTCAAGTTCTTCGATGGACAGCGGATCCTTCATTTGGCTGTATTTGGAATTTTCCTTGTTCATGCCTGGCATATCTACCATTCCGCTGGTTCCGGCCATCATAGCTGCCTGTTCGAGATATTTAACAACGAACATGTTGTTCATCAGAGGCTGCGACGATTGCGACGAACTACTCGTTGATTCTTCCGAATGAACAGCCGCCGGACCGTACTCATGTTTGATTCGCATATCTGCATCCGAATTTATTAGAACCAATTTTTCCTTACGCCGTCGTCCAGCCTTAGGTTTTCCATTGCTGGTGGACAATTTTACCTCCGGGTACATTTGCAACGTCGCCGGACTTGGCGTTGACGAAGCGTCCTGCTCACGAACTTTCTTGACGGCTTCCTTCGCATACTCTTCACTCTTTCGCTTGCTACTCTCTCCAGCATCTTCAGTCTTATCGGTTGCATCATTATTGCCACCGGGCGCCTCATCCTCCTGCAGCTGGAACCCTTCGAATTCCTGCTCCGTTGTTCCGTCTCCATCCTGAATGCCCTCATCCAATGTTTGCAGATTCGAGAGGAAGTGAGCAATGTTACTCAGATCAATGCCGTGGTAATTCATCAGATGCTTCTTGTACCACAGTTCGTTCCTAAAACACATCGCACATTGTGCACACTTAATAAGCTTACCCTTTGCCCCCTGAATCACTATTTCTTCTAGTACTACCACTTGAGTATTCTCTTTCGCGACCAGTTCTCCCTGGCCCTCGTCGCTTCCGCCTACGATAATTTCCCCTGGAATGTTCTTTACAGTCTCGTTCAGTGTCAACTCTGATTCTTCCTCTTCCTGTGAGGCAATCTTACTCAGATCCGTACCTTCATTTTCGATTCCGCTATCGCTGCCGGCTGGCGAAGAATCCTTATCGTACGTTCCGGGCACTATCACGTCCGGCACAATAAGCTCCCCTTCGGGACTCTCCTCTTCCTCTTCCTCTTCGACCAGTTGTGCTTCCCTCGATGCTTGTTGTTCCTCTTCCAGCTTCTTAACCAATCGATTCTCCTCGGTAGCAGCGGTTGGAACAACCGGCGAAAGCTGCTTGATCTCTTCTTTGATCGGATGTTCCGTGGCAACTTTCGGCTGCTTGGATGGTGAATTTAGCGGTGAGTGTGGTTCCGCTGGAGGTGACTGTTCCCGCTGTTGCTGTGGCTCAGGCTGCGGATCTTCCGAATCTTTGCGCTTTGTGGTGGGTGAAATAATAGCCGTTGGCTTGGCCGTAGTCTTCACCGGGGACGTTACGATCTCGAACGGTAGCGACGCTGCTGTTGGCGTTGTAGAACAAGACTTCAGCGGAGATGTTTTCGCATTGAGGTCTGGTTGTTTGTTCAGATCTGCGGAATAAAAAGAAAACACAATTATTAAGTGACTTTAACACAGGTTAGTCTAGAAGTCAGTTAAGGCGTGGTTATGAAGCATACCGGAAGCGGTGGGATCTATTCCAAAAAATGGTACGGAAAAGTGGGGCAGTTTGGCCACCTTAAGAAAATCATCACTAATCATACAAAATTCAGTGGGAAATTCGAATGATGTTTAACCAAATGGATAGTTTCAAGCCCCATTTACATCATGAATACAAATTGATTTTTTTTTTTTTGCTCTATTAGAGAGATTTTCAGCCTTGGGCGGTTTCATCTCTTAAAAACGAGGGGGGGGGGACTTCAGACGGGAGTCCCCTTATTTACAGAGTTAATAGGAAGGGGAGGTGAGGTTCCAGAAGAGAGCCCCGAGGATACGGAGTTAGGAGATGGGCGGGAGTCCCCATAATAACAGAGTTTTAATATTTCAGAGTTGGGAATTTTCCTTTAATGCTACCGATGTTACTGTCCTTTTGAATAATCGTGGTCAAGTTCCGTGTCCTGTTCCTTTGTAGTCACTGTGTTTAATTTTAGTGCCGTCATTCGTCCATTTCCGTGTCCTTGTACGTGCTTTGCTTGGTTCAATATCTTCGTTCATCCGTGTCCGAGTCAGTATTTGTTGCCGAGGTATAGTTTTGAGTCCGGATCATTGTCCGTTGTCGTTGCTTGGGTGTTCATAGATCAAATTTGGTTAATCAGACCTGCCTCCTGAAGGAAGCAGAAAAGTGCAGCGATGTTGGATGGGTTATCCCTCAGGGTATCCCTGATGCTACCTGAGATCCCGTAAAGGGAACGGGTTTCGTGGTACTGAGGGCATTCGCATAAGAAATGCTCCACTGTAAGTGGAACATTGCACGTATCGCACTATCGTCTGAATCCCCCTCCGCCTACCATGTTGTGGGAGACTTTGGTATGGCCGGTTTTCAACCGGGGTAGAATGACTTGAAGTCGGTGTTGAGGTGGATCCTCCCATTTCCTGGTATCCCTTTTTACCTTCCGGATAAATAAGTCTCGAAATCGCATCCATTCGTTAGTCCACCAGCTCCATATAGTGACTATGATCCACCGGTTTATGTCCTGGGCCGGGACCTTTCTGGTGTAAAAGTTGGACTGTCTTCCGGAAGCCGCCAGGTGGTCGGCTTCCTCATTACCTCTGACCCCACAGTGTCCGGGGACCCAGACAAAGGTTTTTTACTTAGGAGCGAACTGCTGGATACCCTGGATCCAGGGGTGTTTAGCTGTTTCAGACTGAAGAGCTGCTAAAACACTGGCAGAGTCGGAGAATATGACGATCGGTTTGTTGGAGGGTAGGGTGACAGCTACGAGAATGGCGGCTGCTTCAGCGGTGAAAACGCAGCATGGGTCTGGTAGTCGGTAAAAGGCGCACAGCTCCGGATCGAAAATCCCAATACCAACTCTACCGCCACTTCGGGATCCGTCGGTGTATCGTACTTGATGATTGTTGTATTTGGTTCGATGTAATTCGGCTACTGTTCTCACTAGCGCAGGGGAGTTGGTTCCCGCCCGGAAACTGTTCTTTATCGCCAACCTCTGGCTCCAAACCAGTGGACCCTAGCTACAGGGGGAGCTCCAGGGGCATGAAGAAGTTCACCTCCTCGTGGTGTGTCCTGGAAACGTTAATTATCGAACCCAAGGGAGAGATATTGCGGCTAAACGAACTACAGCAGAGTAAGGACGCTGGAGCCCCATCCATCTCGTCCCAGAAGGTCGATAAGCCCTGCACAAACCCTCGTTGTGCAAAGGTAGGAGTGACACCGGGTTCTTAGAGTGTAGACGACTCTGACCAAGTCGTAGCACACGCAGCTGGTAAGCGGTCACATCTGTCCTGTCCTGCCGTGGACAGTTGGCTGGCTATCACGTCTGCTCTAGAACTCATGCGAACAATAAGAGGAAGGCCCTGCACAGCTGCTCACGGTGCAGTAGCGAGTGTCATGTCTGTGACACACCAGTAGTGTGATGCGACATAGCGCAACCGGCCCCCTCCCATGATGTAATGCTTTCGGGCGGTTCCGGGGAGGGCAAGGGCCAAGAGCACAGGGTAAGGTTTAGTGGGTCGGGAGCGCTACTTCTCCCATTCCCACACCCTGAGTTATCTTCTCAGGTGTCTGGGAGCAGATTCCCCCAGTATAAAAAAAAAAAAACGGGGTGAGCTTCAGGTTGGCGGTATTATGCAGGAGATCGTTCGCCTTCATGAGGAGGGACACTCCGTCACTTGTCCCTGTAGTCTTTTCTGCAAAGCTAATCGCTTTCTTGCAAACAGATGCAACTATGTACTTTTCAAAAGGTAGCCTTCCACTCTCCACGCAGGCTGCCAACCTGGGGGTGGAGGGGAGGAGACCTGATGTGACCCTAATGGCCTGATAATACACTGGAGCCAGTTTGGAAATCAACCTATCAGCAGCCAGGCAAGTCAGTTCTAAACCGTAGGTCAGTCTGGAATCAACTACCGCTTTTGCTACACGCATAAGAATAGCACTGTTGTTCATTAAGTGTCTTTTGGCCAGTGTTCGGAGTAAATCAATCCTCGTTTGGCAGCTCTTTTTCACCTCATTAAAGTGGTTGACAAAGTTTAGATGCATATCGAGTCGTAGGCCGAGGATGTGGATAGACCTCTTTTAGGGCATGATTCTTTCATCAATGCTGATTGGAGAGCGGAGTACATGGTGGTTCATCGGACAGATATGAGTAGCAGCACATTTTTCCACCGAAAGGTGGAATCCAACGGATTTAGTCCACCGTAAGACAGTGTTCGTGGCTGCTTTTAATTTTCTGCGGATAGCCTTCACGGTGCTGCCAACTACTACCAATACGATGTCGTCTGCATACACAAAAATGTATATTTCCTTGGGAAGATTGTTGAAAACTCCGTTCATCCGTATTAAAAACAGCGTGACTGCGATCACAGAGCCTTGTGGGACGCCAGTCTCCTCCGGGAAACATTTGGATCTATGGTCGCCAATACATACTTGAAAAGTACGGTGTTGGAGAAAATTCTTCAGAAATACAAATTGAATATTAAAAGTAAACTTTTGAATCTTATGAACGAAGATTTCAGAAATGTTCGTTTTGTAACCGAAACCATTTATAAAGCTGCTGAAGAAATATCAACGGTAAGTAATAAGAAACTACTGATAGACCTTATTTTCTGATTCAGAAATCTTATAACATTTTAGACATTTTGAGCTAGTCTAACATTTTTCGAATATTTGCTCTAGAGAAAAGTATTTTGTTAGACTTAAATGAAATGGATAGTTGAAGTAGGCTTCAAGCATTTTTTTTTGTAAAATATGTTCATTAAGTTGACTTTTAAGCGGGTGCCAACATTGCCCCACTTTTCCTTATAGGGTTTCAAAATTTAATGTCTTTTCATAGTAAAAAACAGGCGATTTCGGACATCCACAAGAGTCGCTCCCAAAAAACGAATTCAAGCATAACTTTTCAAAAGGACGTAAGTCGCAAAAATAAACAAATCGATATTTTGCATCTAACCGAACATAAAATACATGCTACGAGTTAATGAAAAACAAGGTTTGAAATTGTAATGCATTATGGAAAATATATTTAATGAACGCCCTATGTGACCTTCTTTCATTGTTTTTAAAATGGTGTTGATACACCCTTTTAATGTCAACATGACTTAACTGCTAAAATTTGATGATAACACAAAAACTGCAGATACGCTCACAGTGAAGCGTTGTATGTGAAAAAACAAAGCAACCACTATCAATCAGCAGATACGTCAAGTTGTTTCTAAGTAGATACAAAATGGATTTCAACGGTATTCAGCTACTGCTAGGTATGTTTTATTAAAGCGTGGGATATTTCGAAGGAGTGGAGACAGTTCCGCAAGAAGGATTGCCTCCAAGCCTAGATCTAAACGTGCACGATGATGCTTCTCCTCTTCAGAATAATGACAACGCTTTACGACAATTGGTTGATGATATCCGAGCCGCTTTACTTTGTGATCAAAACATTCACTCAATAACATTCTGCCTGGTAACATTCAAGCACTCTTTTTTTCTACATTCCCAGCAGGTGTCAAACTATATTCAGCTTCTGTTCTTCTAGTAGTTCTAGTAGTGATTTTTTTGTATAACGTTCCACTCGAGCACAGAAATACTACCAACGAAAGGAATCAAACGGCCAGAGATGTCACAAAGCAATTCTGTCCAAGAAAAGTCATTTCCTCTTCTGCTCTTTCCATTCTGTTGATGATGCTTCGTGGCAACCCGATACTGGTTGTGGGTTTAATCATGTAAGATTACATCCGATTACGATGAAGTCTCTGTTTGAATCCTGCTAAAAAAAAAGTTATGATATGTTTGTTTTTGTATTTCCTTGAGCAACATGTTTATTATTTCAAAGGTATTCTAATAAAATTGCACTTTAATCTTGACTTTAATACTGAACTTCACATACCAATTAAAGAGCCTAAATTTATAAAGAGGCGACATGTCAAAATTGGAACAATCGATTGTCTGTCAAAGTCATAGGAAAAGTCATTCCAATCGAGCAGAAGACCTGTCAAATGGATAAGATGTCGTCTCTTTATAAATTCAGGCTCTTTAATACCAATCTAACCAGCGCTTTCTTAATACGAAAAACGCAAAACGTATAACATCTGACAGCAGATAATGCGATGAACCTCTCATATCCGCTTTTCACATCGATTATTCCACAACTCTGGGTAGTTATGTAAATAAACCAACCAACCGACAATTCCTCAATGCTTTTCGAGCTGCCGACGTATCTTCACAGCAAAACAAACACCGGTGTATCTGATTTGACGTATGTGAAAACCCTTCTGTCAAATAGACGAATCATGCAGGGTGTATGTAACAATCAAGGTGTGATACCGACGAATCAATCAAGGTGTATGTGAGTAGTACAAAAGTAAATGGTGTACGCTTTTGTTTTATCAAAAGTCTTGTCCGTGTTTGCAAATCTCGACATTT